AGTAGATTCCATACTGTTGTGTTATGTTGCATATATCTTTTAAGTAGTGATCTATGATTTGTCTTTTGATTTTTACATCGGGGAACTCTGTTTTACATGGACTGATTCCGGGTTCAAATAAATTTACGAGTAAATTTTGACAAAATATGTGTTGTCCTCTATCAGTATCTGCGTCTACTATAAAAGGAAAGATTTCATCATCATCTGGAGTTTCTTCACCTGGGGTGTGCGTTGAACTCATTTTTTCGTTCGATTACTGTTAATATGTAATTATTAATGTGTCGAATTGGTTGATTCCAATTGTATAAATGTACTGGTTTGTGTTTGTACTGCTTTTTTATTCTTCTTTTTCCTCTTTGTGATGAATTTGAAGTTGTTTCTGAGTCAGAGAAATATAATTGATCGTGAAGTGGGCAATTTTTATCTATTGATTCTTTTAGTTTGTAAAGTTCGTCTAAACTGTTGGTTTCTGATTCTGAAAATGCGTTTCGATTTTTTGAAAATCTTTTTCGTGTTATTTGTCTTTGTTTAGTTATTATTTTTCTCTTTAGTGTTTGTCGTTTTGTTCGAATGTATCCAACTGTTTGTGTATGAGGTGTGATTACAAGGTCGTATTTTTTGTTATCTATTTCACAATTGTGTAAAATGATTGTTTGTTTATTTCCTTGGTTTTTAAATGACATAAGGTTTAGAATGACGGATGCAAAGGGTTGTTAAATGATTTCTATTTTCTTAAACTGTTAGTTCTTACGATTTTTTGGTTAGCTTAACCTGGGTCTATTTGTTCAGGGTTGGAGAGAAAAGTATATCGATTCCGAAGAATGATTTTTACTTTCTCGTGACTAGTATAAGCTAAGGTGTTAACTTACTTAATCTTACTTAGGGGTAGTGATTGTGTTCAAGGGTTGGAGAATAGTAAATCGATCCACAAGGTTCAGGTATAATTAGAACGCGAGTAGTTCGTTAGATACTATTTTAAACTTACGAAGTCTAAGATTTATCCTGGGTCTGGTAAGAGGGGGGGTCAAGTGAAGGATGAATAACCGAAGTTCTTCACTGTTTATCCTAATTTGAATGATTAGTTTTGTTTTAAAAATTTCTATTAGTCTTGGGTCTTTAGAAAGGGTTGGGTAGTGAATCGACGTTTGAGGTCGTTAGACACTAATTAAGTGGGTGGGGGAGAACAAAGTTGTTCTGTTTGATCCAAGGATAAGCCTTGATGATCAAATTTAAAATTTAATTAAGTAGAAAATGATTTAAGATCCAAGGATAAGCCTTGATGATCTGGTTTTAAAATTAAGTGAATTTAAGTTTTAATAAAGTTTTAAATGTGTGTAAAGGAAAGATTTAGTGTTTTATGATGTTAGTGAGTTGATGATTGCTGTTATGTTTTAGATGATGAAGCTGGAACAACAGGATGATTTATGATTACTAACCATTTATTGTCATGCTACTAATTTTTATTTTTGTTTTCCAATAAATATTTTTCAAACATGTTTTGTATAATACTGCAGAGTTTTAGGGAAACGATCTTAGATCTTTTTATCAATCGTTATTGTATAATATTAATTTTGTTTAGCGCCTTAAATGATTTTGAAGAGTAACTTCAAGGTTTTATGTTTGCAAATGGAAATCTAAATTCATTGCAAGTAGTATTCGAAATATAAAAGTTTGTTCTGGCTTTTGCCGAACTATCATATAACTATACGGCAAGTTTCTACTTTGTCGTATGTCGTCTTTGGTTCGAGGTCTTCTTCCAATTCCGGGTAGTTCTATTATGGTTCGGAATATTGGCTCTGATCTATTGAGTCGGAGAGACATTTCAATTAAATTATTGTCGTATAACATTTTGTAAATGTTTTTGTCTAATTTCTAATCTATTTTTGGTTAATTCTAATCTAGTAAGGTCTTGTTCGAGACTTATGGTCGCACCAGATGAGTTAGGACCGAAGTGTAACTCATAGAGTAATTTCGGATAGGGTACACCGTCTGCTCGTCACGCTATCTTATTTTCGGCCGGATAGATTCGTGCAACTTCTTAGTCTAATACCGATCCTAATCTTACTCTTATACTATCTAGTCTCAGGTTGTTTAACTAGTCTCTGCTAGGCTCAATAGATCTAGGGTATACTGGTTTATTGCGGCTGCTGAAGTGCTCGGGAGAGTCCAACTAATTTCTAAGTTAAATTCAAATCTCTCTGGTGCTGAAATTACAAGTAACTTCAGCACTTACAAATAAGTGGGTTGTTAGTTAGATGGATCATGATTGGTTAATATTAAATACTTTACATTGGTAAAACATTTAATTTATCCAATCATAAAATATAGTTTAGATCAGGTTCCAAATTGGTGGTAACCAGTAGCGTACCGAGATCGTGGGGAAAGGGGGGAAGGGTGGCTTGCGAGCATCTTAATTCAATTCAGTTTGCCAAATTGTTCCAAGGGTACAATTTTACTATGTCTAATTTTGATTATTCAATCTTAAAATTGTTCTGCAAAAAATTCAAGTTCCCATCATCAAATATTCAATACTGTGTTCAAAAATTTACCATAAGTTTCCGTAATAACGCCACAAACACTTAGAAGATTACCGATACAAGATATATGTAGACCAACTTGGATTAAAACACATTCAGGGCAAAAGTGTTTTAAATTGGCCGCAAAAGCGCATTTTTTCCTCAAACTTATAACTTCAGAAAAAATCGGCCTCGCAAATTTAGATAAATAGACTGATACATAGACAGAAAAAATTTAATGTGACCCTTGAGTAATTTTGTAGTGCAATTGAATACATGCTAATAACTCATGGACCGTTTCAGGGCGCGAGCGGGAATCAGTGTCCTTGGCTTCTTTCTATTTGAACTTGTTCACTATTTCGTGCTTTCAATCTGCGTCGCAATTATTGCGATTTACCTGAAATATCTTGGATTTGAAACCTGACAGACTGCTCCACACTTTCTCGTGTTACCAAATGTGCCAATCACATTAAGTTTATTATAAAAAGCATATCTTCATTATCAATTGATATGAACAATCGAAGATAGATTTTTAAATGAAAAATAGTCTGTAGGGCTGATCCACTCAAACCCCTGCGGGGACGCGAAACAGCCTAATATAATTGTCCTAATTTAATCAATTGAGAAACATTGCAGACATTTTTATTCAAATGAAATCGGTAATTTCAAATCGATCAAGTAAAAAAAAACCTCGACCAAAATACCAGACGAGTCAGTTCGAGTCCCGGAAAGAAGACGCTTTTCCGGGACTCGAACTGACTCGTCTGGTATTTTGATCAAATATTTAACCATTTCACTAACTGTTGCTGGCGAGGACCCACTTGATGACAGTCAAGAAAAGAGTTGAAAATGAGGCTGTTTTTTGTGACAGTTCATTGAAATAATCAACTGGACAAAAGTAGTAAAACAAAAGAAATCAGAAAAGTTTAACTGAGCAGTCTCAAATCTATTTTCAACAAAATTGAACAATCAACTAAGTGATACCAGTGGAAACCGAAGTAAATAATTTTTTAGCTAAACTTCTCATTTCAAATCAAACGGAAATGTTAAAACTAAATTTAGAAAAGATTTTTTTTCGGACAGAATCGAACCTGTTCACTCAGCTTGGTAGTGCGCGACAGATATTCTCGACCAACAACTTTTCTGATTAGAAAAAATGACCATATTTTGATATCTATGACTTTAGAAAATGAGCGAGCTAAGAAAATGAGAATGAGCAAGTTCCGATTGGGATTTAAACCTATTCATCCGGCGAGTGGGACAAACATATAAGCTGGGCTATGAAAGTATTAAATAAAAAACACTAGAAATTTTTCAAAATTTAAAACAATCTTCCTTTAACTCCCCGATTCTTCCGGGAAAAAAGTGGGATTTCTCTGAGGGAAGTGAATGGAAGGTGTCCCACTCTTTAACCCTACGATATTTAACCCCCTCTGTTTTTCCAGGTCAAAAGCATAACGTTAAAAACTCGTAGTGGCTCGTTAAAAGTGGATTGAACTCGCGCGCCCTGGTACGGAAGGTTGGCGAAAAACGCTGATCACGAAGTGATCAATCTTCCCCCCTTGAATTTAGGAGGGAGATGGTTCACATGCTTGAAAAAATTTTTTTTAGCTAATCAGATTTTAGCCTAGAACATGCAGGCTTTACGGCTTAAAATTGCCATTTAATTTTAGGTTGAAGATTGTTTAATTGGTGAATTATAACTTATACTACAATGATTCACAATTTTATTTTTAGCTTATTTTAGCTTGCCGTCAATTGTTAACTTATGTTACAAAAATCATAATGAACCCTACAAACCAAAACTAAGGCAAGAAACAATGGAGTAAATTAACATCCTCCAGAAATCCCCCCCCCCCCCGCAAAAAATACCAAAATTAGATCCTCAACCCCAGCGTTCCTTTTGAATTAAATTTTGTGAGCGCTGCCTGTAAAATAATCTTCTGGTAGACTGAACTCAGAACCAAGTTAACATCCTGCCCTTAATCAGCGTTGGGTGGGAGGATGTTAACTTGTATCCAGGCTTGTGGTAGTTACTTCTGCAAGGTAATTATTGAAGTTGTTTCGGACCAAGTTAACATCCTCCCACCCAAAGCCGTTTAGGGGGAGGATGTTTACTTACTCCGAAACTTACTACAATTATTTACTACTAAGATGAGATAGTTTGTTTGAATTTTAATGAAATTGAGCATGTATTGAAAAATATCATTCCAACAAAATTGACCATTCTTTGAACAGGGAAAACTCTGGTACACGATTGCATTACCCTTGCTAATCGCAAGGGTAAGACAAAACAATACTTTGATTTTTTGGCTCTATGAAACAAATCAAAAATTAGTGGCATACAGATAATTGACACTTTCCAGCTTCTTGGTGTGTAGTTTTTTAAAAAACGAAAACCGTGGCGGGAGTGAAAATGAAGATATTCCAGAGTTCAATCATAGAGGCACCATTTTTAAACTTTTAATCAAGAAATAAACTTGCCTGCATTTTTCGGCACAGAGATTTTTCATCAATTCGAAATATTTTCCCCTCAATTCCGGGTCAATAGCAATCAAACTCCCTTTGTCGAGTACAGCGCCAATTTCTATGCCATCATTCAGGAATCTAGACGAAAACTGGAACAAATCTCCGTTGAACATCTGGATTCTTCCGTCTAGACTTTTGAATATTTTGCCGAAACTTTCAATTGAAGATTCGACCAAATTGAAGTTGTTTTCTTCTGACAGCAACTTTATTGCCTTTTCACTGAACTCCAGTCCTGAAATAAAATAAAATTTTGAAAATCGCAACTAAATTAAATAAAAGAAATTGTAATATCGACTTGCTAAATTCTCTTAATGCTTTTCTTGCCAGATCAATTGTAATTAGCTCATGATACTATGAACTTCTTGATGGTCTGTCTAAGGTTTTTTCAGACGCTTCCAAATTCGGTGGAAAAAAATAATAATTTGCAGTCCTTCAAAATTAGACACAATACTTTGCAGCGATTTTTTAAAATTAAGATAAAAAATAAATTGCACGAAGGTTTTGATCAACCTTACATAGCGCTTGGCAAAAAGTAAACTACAGCTCTCATTTTGGTCTTTTCAATCGTGATTAAAAGCTAATTTAATTGAATTGAGACTAAACTTTATTTACACTAGCGTGTAAAGCACCTCCGTTGCTTCGAACTTTTAACAACTCATAAAAACCGCATATACTGGAAATAAGATCTGCATCCTTTGAGTGTACTCTGACAGCACCCAATTACAGCACCCAAGTTTTTTATTCAAGTTTTTTTATACAAGTTTTGAAAAACCAAAAAATTTTTATGCAATATTATATAAGTTCTTTAAAAATAACGTTAAATGAACTAAGAAACGTCACATCTCGGAAAGTAAAAGCAATTAAGCAGTCGCATTTAAACGCAAGATTTTCAGTTTGAGAAACTTTAAACTGAAGCCTTCTTAAAAAGATATTTTTCTGAAAACCAGCAAAAACGTCACACCTCAAAAACTACCAAGAATTGAGTCATATTTGAGGGCAAGACTCAAACCCCTGAGATTACTCTGACAGTCCCCACTACAGAGTTGGGAACTTAAAACTAAAAAAAAAATTAATATTAAGTTTTCTCAAATGTTTTTTTTTTGAGAAATTCTCAAGGTTTTGAGAAGACATATCTGGAGGCAATATTCGCAACTCCTGAGAGTACGCTAACAGAACCTCACTATAGAGATGTGAACTTCAAATTTTGTGAAAATCTTATATCTAAGTTCTTTGAAAAATTTTGAAAAAATTCTAAAAATCGAAAACAACGAGGATTTGAGCAGTCGTATTCAGAGGAAAAATTCGCAAACCCTGATATTACCCTCACAGTTTTCACCAACAGGATTGAGATTTAAAATTTAAGTTTTTTTGAAAATAAAAAATACCATATCTCAAAAACTACAAGAATTCGAGAAGTGAAATTTGGAGGCAAGATTGGCAACCCCTGAGAGTACCCTGACATCACCCAACTACAGGGTGAGAAATTCAAATGTTGAGAAATTTTTTAAAATTAAGTTTTCTAGCAAATTTGAAAAAATCTCGAAAATTGCCATATCTCGTAAACTAAAAGGATTTCGTTATTCATATAAGGAGACCAGAATCGCAACACCTGGAAAAACCCAGGCAGCGTCCCAGTTTTGGTTGCTAATTTCAAACTTGATGAAATAAACGTTGAATTTAAACTGGAAAATCGAAAAAAAATCTTAACCATTGCAATACACGATATAGCTTAAAAGAGCAAAATAATACGTTGAAAAAGCTTAAACATGGCGTGATAGTGAAGCCCGCATTTTTATATATCATAGATTGAAATACATTAAAACAAATATACATATTACCGTGTATCCCAACTCGTAGAAGTACTTAATCTCCACCGCTTTCCCGCACAGTGGGATAAACACAGCCCACTTCTTTTCATCTTCGTCTGGTAAAAAACGGGACTGAAACTGTGGTATGAATGGAACTAGTTCTGCCTTGTGGAAAATAGGTGTGTCTGACGAATTCCAAAGTTCACACCACTGGTCTAAATTTGACATGACAATCTGATATGAAACAGCACTTAGATTAGCGAAATATGTGCAAATAGCGCCGAATGCTTCGACTACAGTGAAAAAAAAAGAAAACGAGGAAGTAGGCGTTTCTTCGCAATCTTGTAAAATATTTAAACTCAGATACTAACAAAAATAAAGAGATAAATCAATTGTCACTTGCCATAAAATAAACAAAAACTTTGAACTCTATTGTTGTTCTGTTTTTATTCAGTAAATTTGGCAAATATATTTATTCTGTAAATTTATTTATTCTGTTTTTTAAACTGTTATTTATTCTGTAAATTTTAACCATGAACCAAATTTTGCTGATTGATCTCTATCATAAAATCACTAAAATCACTAACTTACAAAACTTATACTCAAATGATAAATAATTTTATGACAAAATTGGCAAGGTTCACTGTGCTTGTTCACTGAACATTTCAAAAATGAAACAGCCGGAAACCAAATCTGAGCGTGACAATCATATATAAGTGACAATCACCTCGTTCTTTAGCACTTAAACACGTCACCTTTGCTGTCAAACTTAGATTACGTTCACTTTGAACTAAGGCCATCTTATGAATGACGTTAATTATATTTTCTACACCAAAAAATTTGAAAGCATACTTGGACATGAAATTATTTACAATCATATCTCGATAATACGAAATAGTGTTTGGCAAGACTTCGTTATGCAGCTAAAAAAACGAAAACGAATTATTAAAACGAAATAAATTTAACAATCAAATGTCAAAAACATGAGCTTTAAGCCACTTGCGATGTATTACAAACAGTATGGCAAGTTTGTCGACAGAAAATGAGAACAAAGCAGCCAGTTCGAACAATTACTTTCACAAATGTCGGAAGAAAACTATATCTACCAAAGTTTCTAGTCAATGAAATTCAATTTAAGCAAAGAACGTGCCAAAACACAAACCAGAGTTATTAAGTTTTGAAACTCGATTGTTTAACCCCCACCCGACGAGATGAAACTCTATTTTCAACCTTCAATTGACGCATGATTAGATTAAGCTTATATGAAAGGAAGCGAATAACCTTTTAAGCGAATAGAAAGAAAATATAAAGACTCAAAACTAGAAAAATTACAAACCGAAAAGGTTTTGAGAAGACATATCTGGAGGCAATATTCGCAACTCCTGAGAGTACGCTAACAGAACCTCACTATAGAGATGTGAACTTCAAATTTTGTGAAAATCTTATATCTAAGTTCTTTGAAAAATTTTGAAAAAATTCTAAAAATCGAAAACAACGAGGATTTGAGCAGTCGTATTCAGAGGAAAAATTCGCAAACCCTGATATTACCCTCACAGTTTTCACCAACAGGATTGAGATTTAAAATTTAAGTTTTTTTGAAAATAAAAAATGCCATATCTCAAAAACTACAAGAATTCGAGAAGTGAAATTTGGAGGCAAGATTGGCAACCCCTGAGAGTACCCTGACATCACCCAACTACAGGGTGAGAAATTCAAATGTTGAGAAATTTTTTAAAATTAAGTTTTCTAGCAAATTTGAAAAAATCTCGAAAATTGCCATATCTCGTAAACTAAAAGGATTTCGTTATTCATATAAGGAGACCAGAATCGCAACACCTGGAAAAACCCAGGCAGCGTCCCAGTTTTGGTTGCTAATTTCAAACTTGATGAAACAAACGTTGAATTTAAACTGGAAAATCGAAAAAAAATCTTAACCATTGCAATACACGATATAGCTTAAGCGAGCAAAATTATACGTTGAAAAAGCTTAAACATGGCGTGATAGTGAAGCCCGCATTTTGATATATCATAGATTGAAATACATTAAAACAAATATACCTATTACCGTGTATCCCAACTCGTAGAAGTACTTAATCTCCACCGCTTTCCCGCACAGTGGGATAAACACAGCCCACTTCTTTTCATCTTCGTCTGGTAAAAAACGGGACTGAAACTGTGGTATGAATGGAACTAGTTCTGCCTTGTGGAAAATAGGTGTGTCTGACGAATTCCAAAGTTCACACCACTGGTCTAAATTTGACATGACAATCTGATATGAAACAGCACTTAGATTAGCGAAATATGTGCAAATAGCGCCGAATGCTTCGACTACAGTGAAAAAAAAAGAAAACGAGGAAGTAGGCGTTTCTTCGCAATCTTGTAAAATATTTAAACTCAGATACTAACAAAAATAAAGAGATAAATCAATTGTCACTTGCCATAAAATAAACAAAAACTTTGAACTCTATTGTTGTTCTGTTTTTATTCGGTAAATTTGGCAAATATATTTATTCTGTAAATTTATTTATTCTGTTTTTTAAACTGTTATTTATTCTGTAAATTTTAACCATGAACCAAATTTTGCTGATTGATCTCTATCATAAAATCACTAACTTACAAAACTTATACTGAAATGATAAATAATTTTATGACAAAATTGGCAAGGTTCACTGTGCTTGTTCACTGAACATTTCAAAAATGAAACAGCCGGAAACCAAATCTGAGCGTGACAATCATATATAAGTGACAATCACCTCGTTCTTTAGCACTTAAACACGTCACCTTTGCTGTCAAACTTAGATTACGTTCACTTTGAACTAAGGCCATCTTATGAATGACGTTAATTATATTTTCTACACCAAAAAATTTGAAAGCATACTTGGACATGAAATTATTTACAATCATATCTCGATAATACGAAATAGTGTTTGGCAAGACTTCGTTATGCAGCTAAAAAAACGAAAACGAATTATTAAAACGAAATAAATTTAACAATCAAATGTCAAAAACATGAGCTTTAAGCCACTTGCGATGTATTACAAACAGTATGGCAAGTTTGTCGACAGAAAATGAGAACAAAGCAACCAGTTCGAACAATTACTTTCACAAATGTCGGAAGAAAACTATATCTACCAAAGTTTCTAGTCAATGAAATTCAATTTAAGCAAAGAACGTGCCAAAACACAAACCAGAGTTATTAAGTTTTGAAACTCGATTGTTTAACCCCCACCCGACGAGATGAAACTCTATTTTCAACCTTCAATTGACGCATGATTAGATTAAGCTTATATGAAAGGAAGCGAATAACCTTTTAAGCGAATAGAAAGAAAATATAAAGACTCAAAACTAGAAAAATTACAAACCGAAAAGTAAATCGCAATGATTTTGGGATCTACTTAACAATCTCCATCTCCAGGAAAGGGGG